CTGCTGACACCCCGGCAAACAGCGGTCTGGAGGGGACCTCAAGGCAATCCCAACAGACCGTACAGCTGAGGGTTCCTGGACTGTTTAGAAGGAAAACTATCAAACAGGAAGGACACCTGACACCAAACCCCACTCGAGTACAGGTGCACCCATCATCAAAGACCAGAGGCAGATAAGGAACCACAAAAGGATGGGGAAAAGCAGGGCAGAAAAGCTTGGAAATTCAAAAAAATAAGGAGCGCATCTCCCCCGGCAAAGGAGCGCAGCATCTCGCCAGCAACGGATAAAGCTGGACGGAGAATGACTTTGACGAGATGAGAAGAAGAAGGCTTCAGTCCATTCAGAACTTCTCAGAGGGCTTAAAGAGGGAGGAATTACAGTACCCAGCACAAAGAAACTTAAAAAAATCTGGGAAAAAAAGTGGAAAATTGATGGCTAGATAAATTACTGCAGAGGAAGTCGCTAAACGAAATGGAAAGAGATGAAAACAGACACGAGGACGGAAATACCGGTGACAAGATGCACAAGCTTCAGTAACCGATCGATTCACTGGAAGACAAGAGTATCAGCAATTGAGGATCAAATGAATGAAATGAAGCGAGAAAGAAACCAAAAGCAAAAAGAAGAAAAAGAAATGAAACAAAGCCTGCAAAGAATGTATTGATTATGTAAAAACCAACGTACGTCTGATTGGTGCTAAAAGTAGAAAATAAAACCAAGTGGAACACTCTTAGGAATAATCATCGCAGAGAAGTTCCAGAGGCTCAGTTGAAAATGCAGAAATCACCGGTCTTTTGTGTCGCTCGCGCTGGGAGTTGGAGACTGGAGCTGTTCCTATTCGGCCATCTTGCTCCGCCCCCCCAGATTACTTGATTAATTATTAAAATAACTAAGGTTTAATTAGCACTTACCATGTGACTGACTCTCTGAGTACTTTACGTGAATTAACTCTTACGGTCCTTGCAACGTTCCTGCAAGATAACTAGTTTTATTATCTCTATGATAGTCAACTAGCTATCCAAATAGCTCTCCCACTCCAAATTGCCTTCTCTTTTATTTTTTCAAGTTTTCTTTGTATAGACGGGGGCTCCCTATGTTGCCTAGGCTGGCCTCAAACTCCTAGGCTCAAGTGATCCTCCCGCCTTGACCTCCCAAAGTGCTGGGATTACAAGAGTGAGCCACTGCGCCCGGCCACCTTCTTTTTTTTAAGTGAAACATTTTAGATCTCCTCAAGCTTTGGATGTTCTTTTCTGGTAGATTTGTCTTTCCACAGAGAGTTTCCACAAGTCCATGTGGTCTGAAGAGCACTGAATACATTGGGATCTTTCCATCTCCATACTGGGCTCTAAACCTCTGCCAATTACCTGGGCCCTTTGGGTAGTTTTGATCACATCACTGACACCATTGGTCTGTTAAATCATTACCTACCTTTCCACAAGTTTGCTTTTTCTTAAAAACATCTTTATGTTCTATATTTATTCTGTTGACAATTTAAAAATTACCATCCTACTGAAGTTTTTCTTGTTGGTCTTGATCCATTCTTCCAGCCCACCGGGGTTGTTTCACGCTCTTATTCTGTCATACAGCCCCTGTCTTTTTCCTGCCAGTTTCCTGTCACCCTTGTAAAATTGTTGGACAGGTCTAAACACACAGCTAAGGCCCCCCTTTCAGTCTCACACTGGCCCATGAATATACCTCCGTTTGCTTCTTTCTGGGAAGCAGGTAAATGCTTCTGAAAAACATTTTCATAGAGTACAAATGCCCCGCTTACTTTAACCAGCCTATTTCTTGGAAAGCCAATGGACAGTTGATGCATTTATTCTAGAAAAATATTTTGGGCTTGGCTGTCACCAAACAGATTCTCGTCCGCAGCACTTGTTTCTCTGGTTTCTGCCTAGTAATTAATGTTGTCCTAAAATAGTGGGAAGAAACTAAAGAGGGTAATTTGCAGAAGAAATCACTCATGCTGCGGAGGAGGGTATCTTAGCTGTTTCTTTCCTTTCTTCCTGTATTTTAGGGGGCTCTGTGGTTTGATTGAGAAATTCCAGGTTACGCACATGGGCCAAATGGTTTTTTTAATTTTAATTTTAATTTTAATTTTTTTAGAGACAGGGTCTTGCTCTGTCATCCAGGCTGGAATGCAGTGGCATAATCATAGCTCATTGCCACTTTGAACTCATGGGCTCAAGCAGTCCTCCCACCTCAGCCTCCCAGAGTCCTGGGATTTCAGGCGTGAGCCACTGTGCCTGGCCCCAAGTGATCTTTAGTTGGTAGCTCTTGGTTTATGGCAGTGTTGTTAGCGAAAGGCAGATGGGAGGATGAGAGGGAGCACCTTAACTGAATGGAGGGAAGAAAGAAGGACAAAGGAGATGGAGAGGACAAACATTCAGTAAGCACCTGCTGTATACTGGGCACTGTGTTCAATATGTCATCCAGTGAGGCAAGCTAGTATACCCAATTTCAGATGAAGAAACTGAGGCTCCGAGAGGTGATAAATACAGACTTTAACAGATATCAGTGATATGGGAAGGGTAAAAGTCAGGATTTAAACCAGGGTCTGTAAGAATCTATCATCCAGGTCTTTCTACTGCAGCACGATGCCTTAGGGAATCAGCTACCTGTTAAGAGGAAGGGCAGGTGAGGAATATAAATGGAAAGAAAAACAGAGGTTTTTCCTCTCTGTCCAGAGGAAATTCTGAGGGCCAGGAAATTCTGAGATTATCATTGCCCCTGGGCCTGCTGGGATGGAGGAGTTTGGGGGCTGCCATAGGCCTTTTGGAATCTCCAGTGGTGATGTTTATTGCTTTGAGTAGCTCTGTGTCCCTAAGTCTGCAGAGGACCCAGGCTACCAGGGAAGAGATTATTTGGGCCACAGTAAGTGTTGTTAAGCTATAATCCAGGGTTTGAATAAAATCAAGCACCGTCTCATCAGGATGCCTGCTCTCTCCTGCTTTTTTAGAAACGGATGCGTTTTAGGAAAAAGAACCACAAAACCAGCGTCTTTATAGCCTGTCCTGTTTTCTGTTAACTTCCATTATAAAAATTGGAGCGAGATTTACAGCACAAAACTATTTTCAATATACTCAATGGAATTTCTTTTCTGGGTTTTACCAACACTCTGTACTTCTGGGATCTTCTTTTCCCCCAATGTTGTAGAAATATCTCCCGTGATTGTGGCTATTCATGTACTTGTTGGGGTCTCTCACCCTGATGGGACACTTATTAAGTAAGGGATGATATGATTTCTCTTTGTGTATACCACACTGCATGCAAGGAGTAATTTCTCATAGCAACGATTAAGATCTTGAAAACAAAAAATAAAGACACATTGGACCTTAGTTGTCATGGCACTGAGTCGAATCCTTAGATGTCAACTCGGATGGCTCATGCCATCCAACATATCCTCACCTTAATGTACCAAAATATCCTCAGTTGGAACTCTGGGAAGGCCAACCCTGCAGCCTGGACTTCCTGTAACGGTAAGGATCTTGGGACTTGTTGGCTGGCAGAGGTTTCTGTGCAAATTCATTTTAACTGTGCTTGCATCCTTTTGGAATAGATGACAATTGGTAATTCTGAATTGAGATGATTTCGAAAGCTGTACTTCTGGTGCCATGCCTGAAATTAGTTTGAAATAGGAACAGCGGGGGAACAAATTGTATTGTGTGCAGTATCAAGCATTTCCCTGGCCCTTCTCCCCACTAGCAAGCCAAATTACAGCAGCAGATGGACCTGCAGAAAAATCACATTTTCCGTCTGACTCAAGGACTGCAAGAAGCTCTAGATCGGGCTGATTTGCTGAAGACAGAAAGAAGTGACCTGGAGTATCAGCTGGAAAACATTCAGGTGAGGACTGGCAGAGGGAATCTGCTTAAAAATGGTCTGCACGGCTGGGCTCAGTGGCTCATGCCTGTAATCCCAGCACTTTGGGAGGCTGAGGTGGGCAGATCACCTGAGGTCAGGAGTTCGAGACCAGCCTGGCCAACATGGTAAAACCGCGTCTCTACTAAAAATACAAAAATTAGCTGGGCGTGGTGGCGGGTACTTGTAGTCCCAGCTACTTGGGAGACTGAGGAAGGAGAATGGCTTGAACCCAGGAGGTGGAGGTTGCAGTGCGCTGAGATCACGCCACTGCACTCCAGCCTGGGCAACAGAGCAAGACTGTCTCAAGAAAATAAATAAATAAACAAACAAATAAGTAAATAAATAAATAAAATGGTCTGCAGAGGCAAAGCACGATGGTAGAGTCATCTGGTAAAACTGTCGGTATCTTTGTGCTGCATATTGTGTGTATTTTCCCCAAGATTTTATTTTCAAAGATTTCAAACATTCAGAGAAGTTGGAAGATTTCTATAGTGACCATGACCTATAATGAACCTGTTGCTATTTTTACTTTTTCATGTATTTATCTATAAATACATCTTTTTTTCTCCTTTGCAGTAAAATTGGGACTAAATTAATACCGACTCAGTACTGTTTGTGTTGAATTTTCATATGTTAGCATCCTAACAACTTCACTGTTTAGTTTCTTAAAGTACCAACTTTAAAAGTAGACTTCTGTCTGGGTTTGAGGTTAGTGTGTTTTCTTGAATTTTAGGTTCTCTATTCTCATGAAAAGGTGAAAATGGAAGGCACTATTTCTCAACAAACCAAACTCATCGATTTTCTGCAAGCCAAAATGGACCAACCTGCTAAAAAGAAAAAGGTGAGTCAAAGTGTTTGAAAAGTGGGAGTTGTCAGTTTCACTCATCATTCATGGCTCAGTGCACACCACTGTGATATATCATCATAGAAACATAGAAGAAAACAAAGTACACTTCTTTTTTATTTTTGGTTTTATTTTGGGTTGAAAAATAGATTTTGAGATAATTATAATAGGTCTTATCGAAAGATATCATTAATCAAATGTAACAAACTACTTTTTGTTTATGGCCATTCAAATCATAGTATCTTTCGCTGTTAAAGAAGTCATCCCTTTCCAGCCCACACACATAGCAGCTGGAGCAGAGGGGGTGTATGCAGAGAGAAAGATTTATACCTAAGTCATGCATACATGACTCCAGAGGGGGTTAGCAAGTCACGAGTATGCAGCTTCAGCAGTTCAGGTCTATCATACCACACTCCAGAAAGGACTTGAACAGTGATCTAGTCCAGTCCTTTTGACTGGCTCACAAAGAGACAAGAACTCAGGGAGTTGGAGTGACCTGCCTGAAGTGTCTGACTGGACACTTCTCCGCTCTGCCAAGTACTGAACATCCCTTTTAGATCGTAAGAGACGAATTACAAACTAGGGGCAGGGTTATACGTAGTGCACATGAGAAGATTGTTTTTCATAAGCCCAATCTATACATGCTTTTCCCACTAAAGCCTTCACACTAGGTTTGGCCAGGTGTTCCCAGTTCCAAGAAAAGTTTCAAAGGAGCTTGCAGTTTCCTTCCAAATGCAGAAGCCTACCATAGTGGCAGTGGCAGTGGTTTTACAGGAGAGGCCTTGATGACTTAGAATACCTAGGAGGGAGGAGTGGAGGGCTGAAGTTGACAGTTATCTCAGTATTTCCAATGCTGTCTTCACTGTAAGGGGATGAGCACAACATTCAAAGGCCGCCTCCCACTAGACGTTGGCTGCATGGGAAGGATTTTCTTGCATGCTGCGTGACTGTAAATGGTTATTATGCTTATGATATTTAATCTTTTTTATTTTAGCAGTGAACTGTTATCTGGTTATGTCACTTGATTTAGTTAGGGTGTTTCCATTTGTTATTTTTTTTTTAGTTAACTTTTTTTTAAGTTGCATTATTCTGTTTTCCTTTTTTTCCATGTATAGTAAATATTTTCATTTGCCTTTTTTTTTTCGAGTAAGCCCCTTGTTTTGACCTCATTTTAGCATTCTTTTAAAAATTTTGCTTCCTTTTACAAAACACTCATCTCTGTGTCTTGTAACTGAGCATCATGAGACATATTTCAAGGCAAGAGTGACCTCTGAACCATCTCTCCTGACTCCATACTCCATACTCTCCTGATTCCATTTTTTGAATGGGAAAGACTCAGGACATGACTCTCCTGTCTTGGCAATGCTAAAGGAAGAGGTGGTGGCCATTCAAGCATCTTTAATCCTCTTGGTGAAAACTTCCGCACCCCTATTTTTTTCAGCCGACTGGAACGGGCTGTGGCTCAGCCTACCCTTCCCCCAATTCACATGCCATTTTTACTAAATACACTTACAGTGAGTATGCTCCTGGCTTTTGTGGTTTGCTCCTCCCGAGTCAGATTTCCTTTAGCTAGTTTCAAGTGCCAGTTTCCAGGAGTTAGGAGATATCTCTGTTTCCATTGCTAGGGTTTATTTAGTCGACGGAAAGAGGACCCTGCTTTGCCCACACAGGTTCCTCTGCAGTACAATGAACTGAAGCTGGCCCTGGAGAAGGAGAAAGCTCGCTGTGCAGAGCTAGAGGAAGCCCTTCAGAAGACCCGCATCGAGCTCCGGTCCGCCCGGGAGGAAGGTAGGGGCTCACTCTCTCCAAAGTGCTCAAGGCTGTGGAAAAGGCAGAGGATTGATCTCAGTGAAATCAGCCAAGACTAACTAGTTCAGTGTCTGTTTATGGCCCATATGCTTTCAAACCAGACATCCCATGTCTGAAAAACGTATAGCCCCTGTGTGTTGCCAAGTTGATGTGACACATATTCTTTTGGTCTTGGGTCCTTGAAAGACAGCCCAGGGACAGTCCGCTTGGTTTGGTTCTCTAGGCTACCCAGCTAACCAAAAGGCATTGTCCTGGTCTCTCTGCAGCTGCCCACCGCAAAGCGACGGACCACCCACACCCATCCACGCCAGCCACCGCGAGGCAGCAGATTGCCATGTCCGCCATCGTGCGGTCACCAGAGCACCAGCCCAGTGCCATGAGCCTGCTGGCCCCGCCATCCAGCCGCAGAAAGGAGTCTTCAACTCCAGAGGGTACGTTCTCAAGGGGCCGTTGTTGTTGTATGGAAATTTCTTTTTAGTTGACTAAGACATGCAGGCATATGGTAAAAATTACAAGTAATACTAGGGGATAAAGATTAAAAAGTCAGTCTTGGCTGGGCACGGTGGCTCACGCCTATAATCCCAGCACTTTGGGAGGCCCAAGTGGGTAGATTATCTGAGGTCGGGAGTTCAAGACCAGTCTGGCCAACATGGTGAAACGCTGTCTCTACTAAAAATACAAAAATTAGCCAGGCGCAGTGACTCATGCCTGTAATCCCAGCACTTTGGGAGGCCGAGGTGAGCGGATCACCTGAGGTTGGGAGTTCAAGACCAGCCTGACCAACATGGAGAAACCCCATCTCTACTAAAAATGCAAAATTAGCTGGGTAGTAATCCAGCTACTCAGGAGGCTGAGGCAGGAGAATCGCTTGAACCTGGGAGGCAGAGGTTGTGGTGAGCCGAGATCGTGCCATTGCACTCCAGCCTGGGCAACAAGAGTAAAACTCCGTCTCAAAAAAAAAAAAAAAAACGAAGTCAGTCTTCTGGCTCCCCATCCTCAGATCCCTTACCCAGACTCAACCATTGCTTTCAGCCATTGTATCCTTCCAGTGATGGTTCATGTATGTGACCACATGTCTGTATCATTCATGTATCTTACATTGTGTGATTATATTTAAAGAATATGAGGAAATAGGCTGGGCGTGGTGGCTCACGCCTGTAATCCCAGCACTTTAGGACGCTGAGGCAGGCGGATCACCTGAGGTCAGGAATTTGAGACCAGCCTGGCCAACATGGTGAAACCTCGTTTGTAGTAAAAATACAAAAATTAGCTGGGTGTGGTAGCACGCTCCTGAAGTCCCAGCTACTTGGGAGGCTAAGGCAGTAGAATCGTTTGAACCCAGGAGATGGAAGTTGCAGTGAGCCGAGATCATCCCACTGCACTGCAGCCTGGGTGATAAAGCGAGACTCCATCTCAAAAAAAAAAAAAAAAGAAAAAAAAAAGAATATGAAAAAATAAGCACCTCTCTCTCTCAGGCCTTTTTTCTTTTATAAATATCATTGTGGTGGCTCACGCCTGTAATCCCAACACTTTGGGAGGCTGAGGTGGGCGGATCACCTGAGGTTGGGAGTTCAAGACCAGCCTGGCCAACATGGAGAAACCCCATCTCTACTAAAATGCAAAAGTAGCCGGGCGTGGTGGCGCATGCCTGTAATCCCAGTTACCTGGGAGTCTGAGGCAGGAGAACTGTTTGAACCTGGGAGGCGGAGGTTGCAGTGAGCCGAGATCAAGCCATTGCACTCCAGCCTGGGCAGCAAGAGTGAAACTCCATCTCAGAAACAAAAACAAGAAAAAATAAGCACATCTCTCAGGACTTCTTTCTTTTATAAGTATCATAGTCCACTACAGTGTACACTGCAAGACACCTTCATTTCATTAAAGTGCTATCATAGAGGTTTCACGTTAGTACATAAGGACCAACCGCATTCTTTCAGAGAACCACACAGTATTCTGTAGTGTGAGCATGCAATTCACCTGTTAAACCAGGCTCCTGTTGATGGCCTTTTAGGTTGTTTCCAATCCCCTGTTACTGTAAACACCTTGCAGAGGACATCCTGTGCCTCTGTGGGTGTTGTGCTTGGAGAAATTCCTGGGAAATGAATCACTGGGTTAAAGGTCATGTACATTTTGAATATTGGTAGTTTGTGCCAATCTATATTTCTACCAGTGTGAGGAGTTCTCTTTCTGGTCTCAAATGTACTCTGTTTACCTAGAGATTAAAAGGACTTAAGAAAAGGCCAAGGAAGCTGGTTTGGAATGTCTTAAGAACACTAGGGTAGAGCTGTGGTTTAGCATCATGGCATTGCAATCAAGCCTGTTTTGGTTGTAAACCAGATGGTGTTTTCTTGTTGCTGTTGTTTTTCTTTAGCCAGAAGTTATTTTCTTCCTCCTGTGTATATATAACTCCTTGAATCACAGAGCTTTTTTTTTTTTGAGACAGAGTTTCGCTCTATCGCCCAGGCTTGGAGAGCAGTCAGTGGCATGATCTCAGCACACTGCAACCTCTGCCTCCCAGGCTCAAGCGATTCTCATGCCTCAGCCTCCTGAGTAGCCGGGATTATAGGCATGAGCCACCATGCCCGGCTAATGTTTTTATGTTTTTAGTAGAGATAGCATTTCACCATGTCGGCCAGGCTGGTCTTGAACTCCTGACCTTAAGCGATCCAACTGCCTTGGCCTCCCAAAGTGCTGGGATTACAGGTTTCAGCCGCTGTGCCCAGCCAAAGAGCTTTAATCTTAAAGTCATTAAAATGGTGGTGACAAGATAGAGGAAAGCATTGCTTCTGGCTGTGGTGTCCACTGAAACTTCCCTGAATAGTGATAATATGATAATACTACATATTGCTCCTTCACGTATATTGCACCAAACAGTTTCAAAGCGCATTCCTGTTATTTATTCCTTGCACGTTTCCAAGAAAGGAAGGGGGGTGATGTTGTAAGGAGAGCCTACCATCGTATAGTCAGTCAGTCTCCTACCAGTAACATGTTCTTAAACAAAGCCTGATTCCTAATCACTGGATAATGGAGATTTTAAGTTGAGCCTTATAAATCTAGAAGCATCTGTTAATGTTAAAATAGTTTCACAATCTGTAACTCACCTGTTCTAATGGTTCTACCAGAGTTGGATTCAGAAATGTGGATCCTGACATTTTCTTTCCATAGTAGTCCCCTATTATTCCAGGGCTTCACTTCCTGTGGTTTCAGTTATGTGGTTATCTGTGCTCTAAAAATATTAAATGAAAAATTCCAGAAATAAACAATTATTAGGTTTTAAATTGAGTGCCGTTCCGAGTTGCATGAGGAAATTGCACACAGTCCTGCTCCATCCTGCCTGGGATGCGAATCATCCCTTTGTCCCGCATATCCACACTGTATTCGCTCCCTGTCCATTAGTCACTTAGTAGCTCTCTTGGTTATCAGATTGAAAAAACAGTATATACAGGGTTCAGTACCATCCGTGGTTTCCGGCATCCACTGGGGGTCTTGGAATGTATCACCTGAAGCATAAGCGGGGATTACTATATTGAAAGCTGCTTCTAATTAGTTAGGTCACTGTTGAGAGGGTGCCTATTACATGGAAAAAAATCAATCTTGTTAATTTTTTTTCCTCTTTGTGGAGAACAGGGTCTCGCTATGTTGCCCAGGCTGGTCTTGAACTCCTGGGCTCAAGCAGTCCTCCCGCCTCTGCCTTCCTAAGTGCTGGGATTACAGGCATGAGCCACCGCACCCAGCTAATCTTCTTAATTTTAACAGTCTGGAATACAAATGTAAGAATCTGTTCTTATATTTACATTTCATCCATAAATTCTTATATTCATAAAAGTTGTATCTTGAACAAAAGGAATTTACTCGTGGAAAAACTTGACATAAAAGAATTCTTCAGTTGTTTAATATATTTGATAATTAGAAATTCTATAATTCATAATAGTGATTTTTAAATTGGATTCTGAAAAGCTCTAGATATATGATTTCATCTGGAAAACAAAGCTTTCACAACTAAAATATTTACAAACAATTGATTTAAAAGCTAATGTGTCTTTATGCCCACAGACATCTATACCATTATATAGTCAGTCAATCTCCTACCAGTAACATGTTCTTAAACAAAGCCTGATTCCTAATAACTGGATAATGGAGATTTTAAGTTGAGTCTTATAAATCTAGATGCATCTGTTAGTGTTAATAGCTTCAAAATCTGTAACCTGTTCTAATGGTTTTAACAGTTTTATTGAGATGTAATTTGCATACCATACAGTTCACTCATTAAAAATGTACAATTCAGTCTTTTCCAGTAAGTTTATAGGGTCGTGTAACCCTCATCACATTCCAACTTTTGAACAGTTTTGGCACCCCTCACCCAAAAAATACTCCATACACATTATCGGTCCCCCCATTCTCCTTCCACTAATGTTCCTCTTGGCAACCACCAATCTACTTTCTGTCTCTGTCAATCTGCTCTCTTAGACATTTCATATAGATGAATCATACTGCATGTGGCCTTTTGTGTCTGGCTTGTTTCATGGAATGTAATGTTTTCAAGGTTCACCCATGCTGTAGCATGTATCAGAACTTCATTCCTTTCATGGCTGAATAATATTCCATTGTGTAGATGGCACATTTGATTATCCATTAATCCATTTTCATTAGTCCATTTTCACACTGCTGATAAAGACATACCTGAGACTGTGTAATTTATACAGAAAAAGAGGTGTAATATACTCACAGTTCCATGTGGCTGGGGAGGCCTCACAATCATGGTGGAAGGCAAAAGGCATGTCTCATATGGCAGCGGCAAAATAGAATAAGAACCAAGCGAGAGGGGTTTCCCCTTATAAAACCATCAGATCTCATAAGACTTATTCATCACCACAAGAACGGTATGGGGGAAACTGCCTGCATGATTCTGTTATCTCCCACCAGGTCCCTCCCAACACATGAGAATTATGGCAGCTGCAATTCAAGATGAGATTTGGGTGGGGACACAGCCAAACCATATCACCATTGATGGACATTTGGGTTGTTTCCACTTTTTAGCTGTCATAAATTATGCTGCTGTGAACAATTTATGTACAGATTTTTGTGGGCACATATGTTTTCAGTCCCCTACGGTCTATAGCTAGGAGTGGAACTGCTGGTTCCTGGGGTAACTATGTTTAACCTTTTACGGAACTACCAGACTGACTTCCACCAGGAATGTGCGAGGGTTCCAGTTTCTCCACATCCTCAGCAACACTTGCCTCCCTTTTTTTAGACTGTAGACATCCTAGTGGTTGTGATGTGGTGTCTGCTTGGGGTTTTGATTTGCATCTCTCTAATGACTAATAATGTTGAGCATCTTTTCATGTCCTCGTTGGCCATTTATCCTCTTTGGGGAGGTGTCTATTTAAATTCTTGGCCCATTTAAAAATTGGGTTGTCTTTTTATTATTGAGTTGTAAGAGTTCTTTATATATTCTAGATATGTGTCCCTTATCAGAGATTTGATTTGCAAGTATTTTTTCCCTTTCTGTGGGTTGTCTTTTCACTTTCCTGATGGGATCGTTTGCAGTACTCTAATGATTTTTTAAAACATTTTCCTCCAGAATTTAGTCGGCGTCTTAAGGAACGCATGCACCACAATATTCCTCACCGATTCAACGTAGGACTGAACATGCGAGCCACAAAGTGTGCTGTGTGTCTGGATACCGTGCACTTTGGACGCCAAGCATCCAAATGTCTCGGTAAGATCAGCAGTTGTGCATCTGTGCTGGGCACCTGTGTGTCTCCAGCTAAAAAAAGTCTATCAGGTGGAGGTGATTTTTTTCTAACTCATCATGTAGTGCATTCATTTTCGAGCTTCTTATTTCAGTGGGAGGATGCTATTTCCCCCTTTTGAAGCTGTGAGTTTATATATGTCTGCAGCTCATGACTCCAACTTGCTGCTCAAAGTGCCTTAGGCTTTGCTAATTTCCAGCCCCTTTTTGTCAGGCTGGTCTCTCCCTACCTTTCTGCTGGCTCCAACTGAAACATGCAAGTATGTTCTTTACACACCTGTTTGTGGGTGGCCTGGATTGAAGCCTGGAAAACTGGATCAAGAGCACTTGGCACTTTTGTTTCCCCTTTCTGCAGGGGCCTGGCACAGGGGAAGCTCAGGAGACTACCTGCAAGTCAGGGCCAGATTCTCTGGGCCTGGCTGGGGTGGAGAAGCCCAGGGGTTGGCTGGCAGAGGAAGGGAAGGGTCCAGGGTCAGCTGAAAATGCCCTCACGTTGCTCACTGTTCTTCCCTAGAATGTCAGGTGATGTGTCACCCCAAGTGCTCCACGTGCTTGCCAGCCACCTGCGGCCTGCCTGCCGAATACGCCACACACTTCACTGAGGCCTTCTGCCGCGACAAAATGAACTCCCCGGGTCTCCAGACCAAGGAGCCCAGCAGCAGCTTGCACCTGGAAGGGTGGATGAAGGTGCCCAGGTACCGTGGCAGGGTGGCTTGGGCTGGAGCAGGTGCTGGCACAAGCCACTTCTGTCCCTGATGTTTTCTAGGGAAGTGTCTTTTCTAGGAATTCTGCCACCCCCTCATCCCATCCTCCAGCCTGATGATTCTTCTGAGTTCAGACATTTTTCTTTTCCATCTTGCTTTCCCCAGGAATAACAAACGAGGACAGCAAGGCTGGGACAGGAAGTACATTGTCCTGGAGGGATCAAAAGTCCTTATTTACGACAATGAAGCCAGAGAAGGTAAATTAATAATTCAGGGGGAAGGTCATTGCACGTGGCTAACCCAGGTCTCCCCAGTGCTGGCGCGAAGGCTTTGTTTTTTGGACTGCCTTGCAAGCCTTCTACGCTTTTCCATTTTTGAAACTTACAAACTAAATGACTTCTCTAAAGGTTATTGGTGCGATACTCACATCTATAGGTCTCCCCCCTGAAGAACCCGCAGGGCGCTGCCCTGAAGATTCCACCTGCTAATACACCTTCCGAGAACTTCTGCCTCAGTCAACTAACCCATAAATCCGCATCGTCATCAGAAATTTGACTGTGCTACTCATCTGACACACTTTATTTTTTTTTTATCTTCCCTCTCTGCCTTCTCTGCACACCTCTGTCCCTTCCTTGTTCTCGTGCGCCTCTCTTTACACACGTATCCTGTCTCTCTCTCCCTTGCTGTCTCTCTCGCTGTCTCTTCTCCTCTCTTCTCCCCTTGTTCTTGTTCCTGTTCTTTTGTTTTTCTTTCTGCCCTTCCTCTTTGCACCAAGCTGGACAGAGGCCGGTGGAAGAATTTGAGCTGTGCCTTCCCGACGGGGATGTATCTATTCATGGTGCCGTTGGTGCTTCCGAACTCGCAAATACAGCCAAAGCAGGTGAGGAGGAGCCGGAGGAGCCCCGCCCTGGAGGTGGGCCGGGCTTGGCCAATCAGCAGGGACAGAAGGGGTGGTACAGGGAAGATTGGCTCTGCAAAGGAGGCCCATCTTCCTCCGCTCCCCGCCTTGGTGGTAACTGGGATTTGCGTGGTTTGGTGGGAGCTTTGATCTCTCAGAGCCGTCCCTCCCAGTGGGAACGGGGGGAAATCCACACCCAATCCTGTGCTCTCTGTGAAATCTCCTAGATGTCCCATACATACTGAAGATGGAATCTCACCCGCACACCACCTGCTGGCCCGGGAGAACCCTCTACTTGCTAGCTCCCAGCTTCCCTGACAAACAGCGCTGGGTCACCGCCTTAGAATCAGTTGTCGCAGGTGGGAGAGTTTCTAGGGAAAAAGCAGAAGCCGATGCTGTGAGTATGAAAACGGGCCCTGGAGGTTGTCTTTGTAAAGGGGGCTGACTTGGTAACTGGTGTTAATGACGAGAATCCCATTGGCCCTCTTGATTCCCCTCGGGCTCCCTCTCTGAGGGCTGATGGCTTTAGACTGTGTCATGGCCAGGAGTCTGGTGATGATGAAGGCACAAGTGCCAAGGTAGCTTGTGTGGCATCATGAGCCATTTAGAATGTGGGAATCAGGGATGCGGTGGCTCATGCCTGTGGTCCCAGTGACCCAGGAGGCCAAGGCGGGAGGATCACCTGAGTCCAGGAGTTTAAAACCAGACTGGGCAAGATAGCAAGATCCCATCTCTTATAAAAAGAAAGAAAGCAAGCCAGGTGTGGTGACATGCACCTGTAGTTCCAGCTAGTAGGGAGACTGAGGCTGGAGGATCGCCCAGGAGTTTGAGGCTGCAGTGAGCTATGATTGTGCCACTGTACTCCAGCCTGGGCAACAGAGTGAGACATGGACTGTGAAAACAAAACAAAGGAAAAAGAATGGGGGAATTGGCATCGGTAGCCTGCTCTGGTGGCATTGTAGACCTTGGTTGTGGCGATGCAACAGCAAATGTACTTATAAGGAAATCCTCTCTCCTGTTTACTCAAATGAGTTTGTCTGGTTTGAAGACTTGAGTTAGAAACACTTTGGCCACGAAGCAGCACAATAGGCTGCTGGCAGCTGCGTCCCCTCTAGGAAGGCTTTTCATAAGCATCTCAGTTGTTTTTGCAGTATTTGCTCTTCCGTAGGCAGGTTTGGAGTCCTACTTATCCTTAAGCTGTTAGAAACGTAGGTGTGCTGTGATTGGCATCACCCCACCTAGAATGTTCCAGGATACAAACAGTGCTCATTGCTCATGGGCGTTTGCTCCAGCGAAGACCAAACAGCTCTTTTCAGACTCTTCACTCCTAACAAACACTTTATGTGTTAGCAGTTGGAGGATTCTTAACCACGAGCCTCCTGAAAAGAACTTTACTCAGTGGTTAGACCTGTTTGGATGACTTGTTTGTCGTTACACACGTGAGCCTTTTACTGAAATCCTTGTTAATATGTGTACAATAGGCCCGAGTCTGTGTTTCTTACGAGCTTCTGCCTGCCTGGGTTCAGGTAAAGAGATGCAGAGGCGTGCTGGCTCGCTGCTAACACTGCGCCTTTGCACTTCTGCTGCAGCCTTATGGGGGAGGGAGTCTTTCATGTGTCTTATTAACCCTGCGCAGGTGAAATCTCCTTAGCTTCAGCTTATTTCTTATCACAGAATAGCTTTCCATGTCTACTATACTCCCTTATTTCTGCATCCCAGCCAAGTTATAACTCAGATGCTAATTAACAACTGCCCCAGAGATAACAATAGCACTCACATTTTGCATTTGGAGCTCAGATCAAAATATGGGGTGATCTAAGAGCATATGTGTGTTTCTGAGCATTTCCAGGAATGACTTGGCCTTAACCTTCTCTTGATCTCTCTGGATGGCTTGGTCATAAACAGATCAGCCTCACGACGTCTTCTTTTTTTCTTTTCTTTCACCTATGAAAAGAAATTGCTTGGAAACTCCCTGCTGAAACTGGAAGGTGATGACCGTCTAGACATGAACTGCACACTGCCCTTCAGTGACCAGGTAATGCTTGTGTGGGCATGGCCAGCTGGTGTCTGGTTACAGTCACACCCCATCAAGAAAGAAAAGGCTGTGGAGGCCTTGTTGCTCTTAGTAGAGATTGTTCTGGTGACGTGACCATGCTTATGTTCTGCCTTCGGACTTCTGCCCTTGCAGGTGGTGTTGGTGGGCACTGAGGAAGGGCTCTACGCCCTGAATGTCTTGAAAAACTCCCTAACGCACGTCCCAGGAATTGGAGCAGTCTTCCAAATTTATATTATCAAGGACCTGGAGAAGCTACTCATGATAGCAGGTGTGAGACCAAGGACATGGTGCTTTTTCTTTACTTTCAAGGAAGCCAATATGTTGAAGCCAAGTTTCATGCTTGTAAAACACGAAATAGTAGACGGGAGCCGTCGTAGCTCTTATCTCTGTGTCCCCATAGATGCCCAAGCTTCAGTTAATGGACCCCCTCTGTCCAGATTTAATTCCCTTCTAGTATCCAGTTTAGCACAGTCTGACATTCCCAAAGAACATCCCACTGTTAGGCCAAGTGAAGAGTGCTAAGCCTCAAAGACTCACTAAAGCCAAACCCATTGTCCCGATTGCAAGAAAACCACCGTGGGTCATGACCTTCTGAGAGTTTGCTTGCTCTGTTACTCTGTGATCTCTTTCGAGTCATCGTTTGCTAATATTTTGTCATAATTTTTTTCCTCTCTTCTTAACACACACACACACACACACACACACACACACTTTCCTGAACCATTTGAGAGTTAGTTGCAGGTATGACGCCAAGTTCTTCAGTATATCAACCTAATGATTGAAAGCATTCTGTCACATAACCAGGGCACAATTTATTTCTCTCTGTCTGTGTTGCTGACATTATTTTTAAAGGGGGTAAACAATAATATATCGATTCAGTGTTTAAAACATCAACAGTTAGGTCTTGTTTCAGGCATGGCTGGATCCAGGGACTGACATACTGTGGTCAAGAACTGGCCTTTCTTAATCTCAGCTCTTTTTCCTCCCTCTCTTCCTTATTTTATTCTTTAGAGAAGTTTTAGATTCACAGCAAAATTGAAAGGTACAGAGAGTTCCCATATACCCCCGTTCTTATACATGCATAGCCTCCTCCACTACCAACATCCCCCACCAGAGTGACACGTTTGTTACAGTCAGTGAACCTACATTGACACATTGTCACTGACACATCGTTGTCACCCCAAGCCTATGGTTTACATTAGAGTTCTCTCTTGGTGGTATACATTCTGTTGGTTTTGAAAAATGTATAATGACATGTATCCACATGTAGAGTATCATATAGAATAGTTTCACATACTATAATTTTTGCATTTAGGAAATTTACCCTTACTATAATACACGTATCCACTATGCTGCCCATAGTTGGATTTTACTCATGGCTCCTATAATGTCCCAGAATTTGTATTGCATTTAATCATGCCTCTCTAGTCTCCTTTAATCTGGAACAGTTCCTCAGCCTTTTGTCTCTCCTGACATCCACATATTTGGATAGTCTAAGCCTGTTTTTTCATAGAATGCCCCCTCATTCCTCCCTCACACATTCTTTCTTTACTTTGCTGGGGAGCATGTTTGAAAGTACAGTTCACATTCTCCAATTTTATGTCTGCAGAATTCCACCCTCCTCAGAATCTTGACTAAAAGGCCAAATGTTTTTGTCTTAGATTTAAATCATGGACCTGGGCCAGGCACGGTGGCTCACGCCTGTAATCCCAGCACTTTGGGAGGCTGAGGCAGGTGGATCACAAGGTCAGGAGTTCGAGACCAGCCTGACCAACGTGGTGAAACCCCGTCTCTACTAAAAATACAAAAAAAAAATTAGCCAGGTGTGGTGGCACGCGCCTGTAATCCCAGCTACTCAGGAGGCTGAGGCAGGAGAATCGCTTGAACCCGGGAGGCACAGGTTGTAGTGAGCCGAGATCGCACCATTACACTCCAGCCTGGGCAACAGAGCAAGACTCCGTCTCAAAAATAAAAATAAATAAATAAATAAATCATGGACCTAAAATATGTTTATAGGGATTTGTGGAAAACTCAGATCATCTGTGTGGCCTCTTGTGACTATTACTTGTGCCTAGAACTAGAACCACCATCCCGTATCTTTACTTAACGGCTTCACGCTGACGAGAGGTTGTTCCTTTTCCCGTTCAGGAGAAGAGCGGGCACTGTGTCTTGTGGACGTGAAGAAAGTGAAGCAGTCCCTGGCGCAGTCCCACCTGCCCGCCCAGCCCGACATCTCACCCAACATTTTTGAAGCTGTCAAGGGCTGCCACTTGTTTGGGGCTGGCAAGGTAAGCTCCCCTCAGAGTCTCAGCTGGTGGAATGTTCTGGAAATTGGCACTACCTCTCTTCCCACAGAGCTCATTGATTTGACCTGCAAGATAGTGTCAACTTAACAAACAGAGGGGCTCTCTAAAAGAAAAGAGATTGATTTGGGAACAGGGCTTTGCAATGGGAATACATGTGCCATTGTAAACTATGTGGGTATCTAGGGAGATAAAGGAAGACAGAGGTTTGTAAGTGAGGATTCCATAATCTTTTTGAAATAATTATCCTTGGCTTCAAAGATTAATAACAAGACTGATGCTTGTCTGAGGTTGGACAGGTAGTCACTGGACAGATGTCCTTGCAGAAGTATTTTTTGTGTAAGATTGCAGTGACCTGGCGGGGCGCAGTGGCTCATGCTTGTAATCCTAGCACTTTGGGAGGCTGAGGCGGGCAGATCACTTGAGGTCAGGAGTTCAAGACCATCCTGGCCAACATGGTGAAACCCACTGTCTACTAAAAATACAAAAATTAGCCGGGCATGGTGGCACGTGCCTGTAATCCCAGCTACTTGGGAGGCTAAGGGAGGAGAATGGCTTGAACCCAGGAGGTGGAGGTTGCAGTGAGCCGAGAGCGCACAACTGCACTCCAGCCTGGCGGCAGAGGAAAAAAAAAAAAAGATTGCAATGGCCTTTGTGGTTTTTGTCGAGTCTCTTTTTTTATCAGGTATACAAGTGTGAGAACCCTCTCTTCATGGCCTCCTCCTGCTCTAATGTCAGGGTTTTCTTAACATTGGTGACTCCATTTTGATTTTGACAACGTTCACAATTGTACATCCTCAAACTAGGTTAAATTTCTTTTGCCTTCTTTAGGCACGTGAAATAATTTGTGTAGCCATGAAATTTGTACAAGTTTTGAATCTAAAATGAATGAGAGCAAAATGGGAATAAAATTAACAAAACTAGAAGGATGATCCATAATTTAAAAATAAGTGTGTGTGCATGTGCGTGTGTGTGTCTGCTGTGTCTGTGAGTGAGAGAGAGATGAACCTTAAAAAAAACTAACATGGATCTCCATGTCTGAACTCAATGAAAGTATGTTTCATTGCTAGAAATTTAAAAATTCAAAATTTATGACATTTACATAACAATCGGTTCATGAGAACTCAAGTTAATTCATTTGTAGCTTCTGGCATATTGAAAAGTGGCACATAAAATACCTTTGTTTGCTTCTTTAATCAAAAAGTCAAAAAATAACAGATGCTGGTGAGGTTGTGGAGAAAAAGGAACACTTATACGCTGTTGGTGGGAGTGTAAATTAGTTCAACCACTGTGGAAGACAGTGTGGTGATTCCTCAAAAACCTAAAAACAGAAATACCTTTCAACCCATCAATCCCATCACTGGGTATATACCCAAAGGAATATAAATCATTCTGTTATAAAGTCACATGCATGCGTATGTTGATTGCAGCCCACTCATAATAGCAAAGACAGGGAATCAACCTAAATGCCCATCAGTGATAGACTGGACAAAGAAAACGTGGCACATATATACCATGGAATACTATGCAGCCATAAAAAAGAATCAGATCATGTCCTTTGCAGGAACATGGATGGAGCTGTAGGCCATTATCCTTAGCAAACTAACACAGGAACAGAAGATCAAATACCGCATGTTTTCACTTATAAGTGGGAGATGAATGATGAGAACACATGGACATATAGAAGGTCACAATACATACTGGGGCCCCTCAGAGGGTGGAGGGTGGGAGGAGGGAGGGGAGTGGGAAAAATAGCTAATGGATACTAGGCTTAATACGTGGGTGATGAAATAACCTTTACAACAAACCCCCATACCATGAGTTTATTGATACAACAAACCTACACATGTGCACCTGAACTAAGTAGAAAATAATAAAAAAGAGTATTTGCGGTACATGTATAACTTTAATGAAGTCTGAATCAGGTGTTTATAGACCCCCTGAGGCTACTGGCATTCTGCTGTTGAAAACCATTGCATTTTGCCCCTCAGAAGACAGCACACTGCACATTTGTTCATTCAGTTGCTGGATCAACTTTTTTTTTTTTTTTTTTTGACACAGAGTCTTGCTCTGTTACCCAGGCTGGAGCACAGCGGTGCGATCTCAGCTCACTGTAGCCTCCACCTCCTGGCTTTAAGCGATTCTCCCCCCTCAGCCTCCCAAGTAGCTGGGACTACACATGGCAGGCCAATTTTTGTATTTTTAGTAGAGATGGGGGTTCACCATGTTGGCCAGGCTAGTCTTGAACTCCTGGCCTCAAGTGATCCACCCGCCGCGGTCTCCCAAAGTGTTGGGATTACAGGCATGAGCCACTGCACCTGGCCAAAAATTTGTTTTTTTGTTTTTTTTTTTTGAGACAGTCTCACTCTGTCGCCCAGGCTGGAGTGCAGCGGTATGATCTTGGCTCACTGCAACCTCTGCCTCCCGGGTTTAAGTGATTCTCCTGCCTCAGCCTCCCGAGTAACTGGGATTACAGGCGTGCGCCACCATGCCCAGCTAATAAAAATTTGTTTTTTAAATTAGAAATTATTTTCATTCTAATATCTGAACTGTTCAAAAAATGTATGGAACATATATGTAAACTATAAAGCCTAATAATGTCATAAGCATCCACACACTCACTACCCAGTCCAAGAAATAGAACATTGCTAACAATTTCCCTTTTCCTGTGTATTCCTCCCTTATCCCGGCCCATCTTCATTCACCCACTGTACCAGCTGCTGACTTTCATGCCAGGACTGATTTGAGCAGTCAGCCTCATTTGGTGAATGATAAACTTCTGGTTGTAGCAGGAGAAGTAAAAGGGTTTCAGCTGTTCTAGAAAAACAGCGTTTTGATGTAGAACTCTGCACATGTATGAGTTCTTAGCTAAGAACTTTTCCCTTTGGATTGAAATTTTCTCTAAATTTTGGCGGGGTGTGGTGGCTCACACTTGTAATCCCAGCACTTTGGGAGGCTGAGGCAGGTGGATCATTTGAGACCAGGAGTTCGAGACCAGCCTGGCCAACATGGCGAAACCCCATCTGTACTAAAAATACAAAAATCTGCCAGGCACGGTGGTGCGCGCCTGTAGTCCCAGCTACTTGGCAGGCTGAGGTGGCAGAATCGCTTGAAGCCGGGAGGTAGAGGCTGCAGTGAGCTGAGATCACACCACTGCACTCCAGCCTGGGCAACAGAGTGAGACTCCGTCTCAAAAAAAAGAAATTTTCTCTAAATTCGTTTAGCACCTCTCCCCTCTCTCATTCTGTCTCCTCCCCATCCCCACAAGGTAAGTTTGTCAAAAGATTCTGTCTCCAGCAGAAGGCACATGAGTGGGAAAGGTATGTGGTGTCAGGTGCTTCCCTGAGGCCTTCTCTGGATCCCAGGTAAAAGCCTTGGTTCTCGACCAGGGGTAATTCTGCCTTACCAGGGGACATTTGGTAATGCCTCGATATGTTTTTGATTGTCACAGATAGAAGTGCTGCGGGCATCTAGTGGGTCAAGGCCAGGGATACTGCTCATATCCTGCAGTGTGCAGGACAGCCCTACCCCCACCACACAGAATGATCTGGTCTGAATCATCAATAGCACCGAGCTTGAGAGCTTTTCCTAGTTTTGCCCCACAGCTGGTATCACACTGGTGACAGTCTTTTTCTTTTCTTGGTTGCTTTTCAGATTGAGAACGGGCTCTGCATCTGTGCAGCCATGCCCAGCAAAGTCGTCATTCTCCGCTACAACGAAAACCTCAGCAAATACTGCATTCGGAAAGTAAGTCCTGGGCCTTGCCTTGGTTGAACGTGGGAAAGCCAGTCCTGCTCTCTCAGCGAGCCAGTGTGGAAAGTGCACTGTCTTGGGACACAGCCTGTACCGGGTTCTTTCCACCCTGCAGGCCTTCAGCCTGGGGTGACCTCTGTCGTGAGCGAGATCCTTCCTTTGTGGAGGATCCTCCAGGGCCACTAGTAGCTGCGGTTTCCCTCCTCGCTTTTCTCCTCCCATTTGCGAACTGCCTCCCCATTGAGCCTGGTGAATTCAGCCTTTTGTTAGAACAGAAAGTTGACTGGTAGGAAAAAACAGTGGGGGGAAAAAGGGGGCACTTTCCAAGACGCTAGCAGTCCCAGGTAGCACTTTTCAGAATCTTTCTCAAATTCTAGAAGTTTCTATTAATATAACCTTCTGGACTAACCAGTGCTAGCACTATTTTGGTATATAATTAGGGAGCTGCTTCTCCTCAGAGCAGAGTGAGTTGTGATGATGACTGCAGTGTGGATGAGATGTGTGTTAGATCCTTAAATCTGCCTGGCTTCTGGAGAATGCTGTCTGATGTCCCTACCTAGGAGTGTCCCACTCCTTCTAAGCCTGATATATTTCTGGTGCTTTCATGATTAGTTTCAAAAATAAAATGAGGCTTGGCACGGTGGCTCACATCTATAATCCCAGCACTTTGGGAGGCCAAAGAGGGCAGATCGCTTGAGGTTGGGAGTTTGAGACCTGCCTGGCTAACATGGTGAAACTCCATCTCTACTCAAAATACAAAAATTAGCTGGGCATGGTGGCGGGTGCTTGTTATCCCAGCTACTTGGGAGGCAGAGGCAGGAGAATTGCATGAACCTGGGAGGCGAAAGTTGTGGTGAACCAAGATTGTGCCATTGCACTCCAGCCTGGGCAACAGGGCAAGACTCCATCTCAAAAACAACAACAAAAAAAATTGAAATGAAGGGTGAATAATATATACGGGTCATTACCTGTTAGAGAAACTGTTCCATTCTGGGCAGGGTGGTGTTAGTTTAGTCTGTGTGTTCATTGAGTGCCCACCCTGTCAGGGACTGAACGGGCTGTTTTATAAGCACCTTTCCCCACAGTTCTGAAAAGCAGGGACAGTTATTCCCAATTTTCAGGTAAGACAACTGAAGCTGGCAGAAGATCCTCAGTTACAAAGTTGAGACCAAAACTGACGTTTGATTTTGTTTTTCTACCATTTCACTATATCATGCTTCCTCAAAGTTTTCCCATACTTAGTAGGTGACCAAGAAATATTCAGTGATGATGATAATGCTCACTAAATTCTCAGAAATCATTGCTTCTTTATGATTCCCAGCCACACATTTTGAATAGGTGTGTCTGGTTTTTTGATGACATTAGGATTGGCCTAAAAACAACTAAAAATAATCAGAAAGCAGATAATTAAGATGACAATAATGATGATCATGATGATGACTGCATAGGTAATATAGGTTCGAACTAGAAACTTTAGAAGCTAGCAAAAAGAAGGACACCCAAACCATTGCTGTTGACCACCACTGTTAATAGTTGGTGTATTTTTCCTGTCTTTTTTTTCCTTCTGATAAGAATGTTGTATTGTTCAAGTTCTGTCTCTTCATTGGAATGCTGTTTCTTTCTTTTCTTTTTTTTTGAGACGGGGTTTTGCTCTTGTCACCCAGGCTGTAGTGCAATGGCACGATCTCAGCCCACTGCATCCTCTGCCTCCCGGGTTTGAGTGATTCTCCTGCCTCAGTCAGCCTTCTGAGTAGCTGGGATCACAGGCGTGCACCACCACACCTGGCTAATTTTTTGTATTTTTAGTAGAGACAGAGTTTCACCATGTTGGCCACACTGGTCTCGAACTCCTGACCTCAGGTGATCCACCCACCTCAGCCTCCCAAAGTGCTGGGATTACAGGTGTGAGCCACTGTGCCCAGCCTGAAATTGTGTTTCTGACCCTGCCTTTTTCTGGCTGCAGTTTGACCTTATTTTCTTGGTTTTGGGTTGCATGGAACAATAGGAAGAGATAACAAATGGATCACTGTTCATCCTGAGAGGCATGAAAGGTGGTGAATGGGGCGTGTGCAGTGGCTCACGCTTGTAACTCTAATGCTTTGGGAGGCTGAGGTGGGAGGATTGCTTGAGCCCAGGAGTTTGAGGCTGCAGTGAGCTATGATCGCCACTGCACTCTAACCTAGGCGACAGAGCGAGACCGTGTCTCCAAAAAAAAAAAAAAAAAGATGAATGGCTTTTTATGACAACATGAACAAGCTTGGTGACAATGTTCTCCAGGGCTTGGCTAGATGCTGTAGGCAGAAGCAGAACAGCTGTGGACCTTGGCTGCCCTGTGTTACCTCTCACATCCTTCTCTTCTACTTTCATGTCTCAGGAGATAGAGACCTCAGAGCCTTGCAGCTGTATCCACTTCACCAATTACAGTATCCTCATTGGAACCAATAAATTCTACGAAATCGACATGAAGCAGTACACGCTGGAGGGTAGGGACCGCCTTCTCTTTCCCACCCACCCATGGCTCAGGCCGCACTGAGACTCAGAACTCATTCCTGAAGCCCGCTTCTCGCCTGCCTTTACAGAATTCCTGGATAAGAATGACCATTCCTTGGCACCTGCTGTGTTTGCCGCCTCTTCCAACAGCTTCCCTGTCTCTATCGTGCAGGTGAACAGTGCAGGGCAGCGAGAGGAGTACTTGCTATGTTTCCACGGTGAGTCGTGGCTGCGCCCGCTGCCCTTTTGGGTCCTGATTGACACTAGGGACCCATGAGGGGTTGGAGGAGGGTATGTGGAGTTCTGGGGCAGGATAGGTTTGACTGGGGGTACAGAGACTGTCTTTCCAGAACCACCAGGTCCCCTTGGGGAGTCTCCTCTCCACCACCAGATACTAGCGTGGTCAAACTCTATCACATTCTCTCCAAAGAGCAGGCAGTTTCTTTCCTCATCCATCCCTTGCTCTTTCTTTCTCTCCCTTTCCTTTCTCTTCCTCTGTCCTCATTTCATACCCCCTCCCCTCCCCTCCCTTCCCATCCTTCCATTTGTCTTTTTCTTTGTTTACTTCTTTCTTTTCTTTCTTTCTTGGGTCCTCTCCTCCTCCCTCTTCCCCTCCCTTCCCCTCCCCCTCCACCTCCCCTTCTTTCCTGAGTCTTTCCGTCTTTCCCTGTCTGTCCTTCCTCCTGATCGCTTCATTCCCCTCTCTCTCTGTGTCTTTCTCTTCCCTCTCCTCCTCTTATTCCTTTCCTTCTTTTCACTTGAGTTCTCTTTCTTTAATAAAATTTAATAAATTAAAATAAATTAATTTTTAAAAGTCTCTCATTTTTAATAAAGCTGAGAGCTGGCTCAGCAGAGGGCCCCCGGTTTTCACAGTCAGTCCTATCTGGTCAGGGGTCCCTGGGCTCTGCTTCTTGTTCTTCCATCACCATGTGTGTCACTGATGCCCCTGCCCTTGGCTGTGCTGATGCCCGCATGCTCTTGACACCTTGCAGAGTTTGGAGTGTTCGTGGATTCTTACGGAAGACGTAGCCGCACAGACGACCTCAAGTGGAGTCGCTTACCTTTGGCCTTTGGTACGTGAGGTTCAGTGTGGGGGCTTCTCTTTTGCCAGCAGCTGGTGTCCTGGAAAAGAATTGCAGCCAGGCGCGGTGGCTCACGCCTGTAATCCCAACACTTTGGGAGGCCGAGGTGGGTGGATCATGAGGTCAGGAGTTTGAGACCAGCCTGACCAACATGGTGAAACCCCATTTCTACTAAAAATACAAAAATTAGCCGGGCATGGTGGCGTGTGCCTGTAGTCCCAGCTACTCAGGAAGCTGAGGCAGAAGAATTGCTTGAACCCAGGAGTTGGAGGTTGCAGTGAGCCGAGATTGTGCCACTGCACTCCAGCCTGGGTGACAGAGTGAGACTCTGTCTCAAAAAACCAAAGAAAAAAAAAAAAAAAAACCGCAATTGCATGTGGAAATTTTTTTTTTTTTTTTGGTCTAAGCACTGTGCACAATGTGTAACAGTCATCCAGAGAACTGTTCATGGAAAGATTCTGAGGCTCGATGAAGAGCTGCCTATGCCAGATTCACCAGCCCACAGTCCCAGCCCTGGGAAATATTTGCTAGGCTCTCATGATAGAAAGGAGCCCAATTCCCTGTGGATTTATTTCAGTCATTTCCAAAGGCTGCAGAGTGTCCCATGGCATAGCTGAACACCTGTTCACTTAACCAGTTCTAATTAGGCAAAGCAGTAAGGCCATGCCTGTTTTGTTTGTAAGTGTAGACAACACTGTGATGAACATCCTTGTACTACTCTTTTTTGCACTTGTCAGATAGCACCCCCTGATTATAAGCTCCTAAAAGTGGAACTGGTGGATCAAAGACTAAACACACACACACATACAAATATGTACATATGTATCTGTGTGAATGTTCTGAAATGCTGTCGTGACCCAAATACCCTTCGAGGCTATTTTGTTTCTCTATTGCTGCATATTAAGCCATCTGAAAGCGTAGTGACTTCAAACAACAGCTTATCATCGGCCCTGACTCCGCGGCTTGACTGGACAGTTCTGCTTCATGTGGTATCAGCAGGGCCACTGGGACAACTAGAAAGCCCAAGACAGGCTCGCAAACATGGCCCACAACGAGTGCTGGCCATAATGTGGGTGCTCAGCTGCGGCTGGTGGCTGGTGGCCTTGTTGCTTTCCACGCTGGCTTCTTCCAAGAATACAGAAGCAGAAGCTGGCAAGCCTGCTCACTTCCACCACACTCTACTGGTTAGAGCAGACTGCAGAGTCAGCCCAGATTCCAGGCCAGGGAACTGCACCAGGGCATGCATACCAGAACCCGTGATTTAAAAAGTCTAATACCAAGTTTTGTCATAAGGAATAATAGTGCTTTTTCCCTTTAAGGCAGAAGACATTTCCAGTCCTGTCTGCTCTAGTTGCAATGACACTGTCATACAGAGATAGAGTATTAAGAAGACCAGCAATGTCTAAATATCTGTGAAGCCAGTCTTTTTTTTTTTTGAGTTGGATTTTCGTTCTCGTTGCCCAGGCTAGAGTGCAATGGCGCAATCTCAGCTCACTGCAACCTCCGCCTCCCGGGTTCAAGCGATTCTCCTGCCTCAGCCTCCCAAGTAGCTGGGATTACAGGCGCCTGCCACAACACCCGGCTAATTTTTTGTATTTTTGATAGAGACAGGGTTTCACCATGTTGACCAGGCTGGTCTCGAACTCCTGATCTCAGGTGATCCACCTGCCTTGGCCTCCCAAAGTGCTGGGATTACAGGCATGAGCCACTGCGCTCAGCCCGAACCCAGTCTTTTTTAAAATCAAATTCTTTGATGTTTACAATCAGTTTTAAAAGGTACAATGAAAAGTCTCACCCAGTGTGTCCATCTCCCAAATTCTCCATCCCTGTTCCTTCAAAGAAAAAAAAAGCTCTTATGAGTTTCTTGTCCTTCCAGTACTTTATGCAAATACTAGCACATAAAATATATATATTCTTTTTCCACCTTTTAAAAAATCAGTAAGGTAGCATACTTCCCACATGATTCTGAACCTTGCTTTTTGCACTGAGCAGTGTACCTTGGGCATTCTTTCATATCTGTACGAAGACAGCCTTTTCATGCATGTTTACAGCTGTGCAGAATTCCATAGATGTATTATAATTTTTTTTTTTTTTGAGACGGAGTCTCCCTCTGTTGCCCAAGCCGGAGTGCAGTGGTGCCATCTCAGCTCACTGCCACCTCTGCCTCTTGGGTTCAAGTGATTCTCGTGCCTCAGCCTCCTGAGTAGCTGGGATTACAGGCATACACCACCATACCTGGCTAATTTTTGTGTTTTTAATAGAGATAGGGTTTCACCATGTTGGCCAGGCTGGTCTCGAACTCCTGACTTCAGGTGATCCACCCGCCTTGGACTCCCAAAGTGTTGGGATTACAGGCGTGAGCCACCATGCCCGGCCAGATGTATTATAATTTATTTAGCCGATCCTTACACTGTACACTTGAGTTGTTTTACGTCTTCTGCTGTAACAAACCACATGGCAGTGAATATCCTCGAACATGCATGACTATTCTGGCATGTAGATAGGTATTTGTGGGGTGAATCGCTTTACAAAGGATTGCTGGGTCAAAGAATGCATTGCAGCCAGATTTTGATTTTCCCTCTTTTCACCATTCTTTGGCCCACACTGTGCCTGCATGGTGATCACACAGCCTACAGAGAACCCTATCTGTTTGTGACCCACTTCAACTCACTCGAAGTAATTGAGATCCAGGCACGCTCCTCGGCAGGGTAAGCATTATCCTACCATGCTTGGAAAACCTCAGCTGTTGGGGTAGGTGTTGGGGCTGGCTGCATGTTCCTTCCTAACCTGCCTAGCAATAGAGGTAGCCTGCAATGAAGGTAACTGGAACTCTGGGACTCTGCAGGACCCCTGCCCGAGCGTACCTGGACATCCCGAACCCACGCTACCTGGGCCCTGCCATTTCCTCAGGAGCGATTTACTTGGCATCCTCATACCAGGATAAATTAAGGGTCATTTGCTGCAAGGGAAACCTCGTGAAGGAGTCTGGCACTGAACACCACCGGGGCCCGTCCACCTCCCGCAGGTAACCAGCTTCTCCTCTTCCTCAGTACTGGGGGCAACGTGCTTTTCTGCAAGGCAGAAGGAAATGATACTAAACCAGTAGAATGTTTCCCAATCTTCACTTTGTCCTTAAGCTCAAACCACTCATTTCTTTGCAATCTGCAGCACTGAAATGACACAGACCTTTATGAGCATCAGGAGAATTCGAAAATACCACCTTGTAAAAGTCAGAGGGGAGAGGTCTGATCTATCTCTCACGGGTATTTTCATTGGATTGGTGAAAAATGGAGCACAAATTAGGCATTTATTGCTTTAGCAGGTATTTTGTGGTGCTAGTTGGGCTTGTGGGGGAGGGAGAATGGTGAATAAAACAGACACAGCCCCTCCGTGATGGCACTCACAGCTCAGTGGGAGAGATGCTGGCAATCATAGATTAGAACATGGAAGGATGAGGCTCTGGTGGGGTGATTTAAAGCCTGGACGTGGAGGTGAGGGAGGATTTCCCATCAGATGTGAGGTGGGGGCAGGGGGACCAGTGACGGATGCTCAGGCAGGAAGGAAGGCAAGCCATGCCTGGAGGTCCAGAGGTGTGAGGTCGTGAGAGCAGGTCAGGGACTCCGGACAGCCTGGTGCCTTCCCTGGAATGCGAGACCTCCTGGACAGGACTGGACTCAAATAGCCATTGATAAAGAAGCAGTTAAAGAAATTAAAGTACAGCCCTGGGAAGGAATGTTGTGCAGGCATTTGGGGAAAAATGAATGAAGAACTCACACTGACATGGAGCAATCGCCAGGACACATCAAGGTACAGGAGAGTATACAGAATATGCTGCCACTTGTATTAAAAAGGAGGGGAGGTGGTGCAGTGACTCACGCCTGTAATCCCAGCACTTTGGGAGGCCAGGGCGGGCAGATCACTTGATCCCAGGAGTTCAAGACCAGCCTGGGCAACGTGGTAAAACCCCATCTCTACTAAAAATACAAAAATTAGCCAGGTATGGTGTGTGCTTGTAATCCCAGCTACTCTGGAGGCTGAGGTGGCAGGGATTGCTTGAGCCCAGGAGGCGAAGGTTAAAGTGAGCCGAGATCACGCCACTATACTCCAGCCTGGGCAGAGTGAGACCCTATCTCAAAACCAAAAAAGGAGGGAAAGGGCACTTCCAGAATGCCAGAGTAAGGACCTCTGACAATGTGTTTCTCCATAAAAGCAACGGGACCACTGGCAGTTATAAAAATCAACTTTTCAGAGCTCTGGAAATTAACCCTTTGAGCGGCCACTCTCAGGCAGAGTCAAACCAAAAGAGTCAGGAGCACATGATTATTTGACACCTTTGCTTTTCCTGCAAGTTCCTGGGATCAAAACCATGCTGAACAAGCATGTTGCAGAAAAGGCCTCTTCTTAAAAGGCATTCTTTTTAAATTTTACTTTTTAAATTTTACTTTTTAAATTTTACTTGTTTTTGAATTGATAATCTAATCACAGGGCACAGAATTCAAAGGATAAAAAAGGTATACAGTACAGAGCCTCTCTTCTGGATCTCTCTTGCCTCCTAACTCTCCTCACCCCCTCTCTCCAGGTCCCCAACTGGGAAGGAACCAATTTTGTGAAGTTTTTGTGTTTCCATTTAGGAATCCTTTATGCTGATACAGCCAGCCCTCTCTGTCTATAGGTTATGCCTCTGTAGATTCAACACACCATGGATTGAAAATATTTGAAAAAATAATTTTGTTTGTACTGCACATGTTCAGGCTTTTACAAATTGTCATTATTCCCTAAACAATACAGTATAACAGCTATTTACAGAGCATTTACATTGTATTAGGTGTTATAAGTAATCTAGAGATGATTTAAAGTGTACAACAGGATGTGTGTAGGTTATATGCAAATACACCCCCCCTACTTTTTTTTTGGGACAGGGTCTCTGTCGTCTAGGCTGGAATGCAGTGGTACGATCACAGCTCACTGCAGCCTCGACCTCCCTGGGCTCAGATGATCCTCCTACCTCAGCCTACTGAGTAGCTGGGATTACAGGCATGCACCACCACACTCGGCTAATTTTTGTATTTTTTGTAGAGATGGGGTTTTACCATGTTGCCCAGGCTGGTCTCAAACTCCTAGGCTCAAGTGATCTGCCCACCTGGGCCTCCCAAAGTGCTAGGTTTATAGGCCTGAAGCACTGCGTCTGGCCCTACACCATTGAATATAAGAGATGTGAGCATCCACAGATTTTGGTATCCACAGGAAGTCCTGGAACCAGTCCCCCAGGCCACCAAGGGATGGCTGTACAACCAAATGTACAGAGTCAGATCCACTGCCCTGATAATGGGCCTTTTCCAGGGAGCGTAGCTAGGCAGGTCAGATAGCGACAGGTTTCTGGGGATGGGGCTTTTTGGGGAGCTTCAGTCCTGATCTGCTCCCTCCAGTGGCTACTAGACTGCTGTTTTTCACAGCTACTGTGGTTCTAGGGACATGGTTTCAACTCTTCCACAGATCTGGGGAGAGGGGAGTGGGTATAGGGCAAGTTGAAATGTCACAAAACATTCGGTTCTTGCTGAGATTCCTTTTTCTTGCATAAATACTCTTTGAATTGTTGCAGGCCTTTTTTGCAACATGCTTGTTCAGCGTGGTTTTGATCCCAGGAACTTGCTGGAAAAGCAGAGGTGCCAAATACCTATGTGCTCCTGACTCTTTTGGTTTGACCCTGCCTCGAGAGTGGCCTCTTAAAGGGCTAGGGTTAATTTCCAGAGCTCTGAAAAGTTGATTTTGACAATTGCCAGTGATCTTGTTGCTTTTATGGAGAAGCAGGTTGTCAGAAGTCCTTACTCTGGCATTATGGAAGTGCCCTTCCCCTCCTTGTGTTTTTTTTTTTGTTACGGTCTCACTCTGTGCCCAGGCTGGAGTACAGTGGCGTGATCTCGGCTCACTGCAACCTCCGCCTCCTGGGCTCAAGACAGCCCCTGACTTCAGCCTCCCGCCGAGTAGCTGGGACTACAGGTGCCCGCCACACCTGGCTAATTTTTGTATTTTTTGTAGAGACAAGGTTTTACCACGTTGCCCAGGCTGGTCTTGAACTCCTGGGCTCGAGCACTTTGCCCGCCCTGGCCTTCCAAAGTGCTGGGATTACAGGCGTCAGCCACTGCACGCGACCACCCCTCCTTTTTAACACAAGTGGCAGCATATTCTGCATACTCTCTTGTACCTTGATGTGTCTTGGTAATTGCTCCGTATCATTGTGAGAAGTAGTTCTTCATTCATTTCTCCCCAGATGCCTGCACAACCTTCCTTATCAGAGCTGTACCTTAATTCGTTTAACTGCTTCTTCATCAATGGCTGTTTGTCTCCAGTCTGTTGCTGCAATAAATGACTTTCTCCTTACGCCATTTTACATGCTGAGGAGTCTATCTGTAGGATAAATTCCAAGAGAAGGAATGAATGGGTGATGGCTGAGGTGCATTTGTAAATCTGATGGACAGTGTGGAGTTTTCTGCCCTGAAAGCTTCTCCCATTTACAGCCCCACCAACTGCATGTGGAAGTGGGGCTGGCCTCGTCTTGACACAGTGCTGGGAGCTAGATCCAGCTCGAGGTGTAGGAAGTTTGAAACCTTGGCCTGCAAAGAAGGTCTGAGATTATTTAACCCAGGGAATAAATGGCCTAAGATAATCTTCTGGACTGATTTACCAGCCCTGTGTGTCTACCTTATAAATAGTTATGTGGACCCCATACCATATGCCTGACATAATGTCTATGGCTGGGGATACAGAGATGTAGAAAGCATTGTTCTTATATTCCAGGGGCCCATAATTTGGTGGAAGAACCACAACTAATATTACAAAATACCAAGATCTTAGGCGAGACTGTCCTAATGAATGGTCTCTCTTTTGATGTATAGGAGCTAATTAATCTGAAATGTTTAGTTAGTGTGGTTTTAACCTGAGGAACTTGCTGAAAAACCAGAAGTGCCAATAATTAAATGCTCCTAACTCTTGGCTTGGCCCTGCTTCAAGAGTGACTGCTTAGTGTGCCACAGTCCTCCCCTGAAAATGTCCAGATCTTCTTTAAGTAGTTCCCAAGTCATGCCAGAAACACATTGAAATACTGTAATTAGATTTTTTTCCTCTGTTGCCTCACTAGATAGGTACCCAGGCACCTTGCTTTTGAGACTATATAGTCTCTCAAAGGAATTGCTTACTATGTGATCAAAACAGTTCCAGTTCCTGTGAATGAGGGGCAGAAAAGTGTTTGCTTTCCTGTGTTATGTCTGGAAAATCAGTAGTTGGTTATCTCTTGGCTTATAGAATGATCTTTTGGTCGCTGACTTCTTTGGGCAGTTGAAGGTTGGCTTTCTGGGTCTGATTCACTACAGGCTTCGTTGCCCTGGTCTGTTTAGCAGAGCAGGAAACGTAACTCCTTGCCAAAAAGACCATAAAATTGATGTGGTAGATTATGGGTCATTAATGGATAAGGAGATGGAAGACTGCCCACTTGGCTTGAAATGACGGGTGTGTTCCTCCCTCCAGTTAATCTCAGCTGACGTCCTGAATGGCCTTCCCTTGAGCAATCCTTCTTCCCCTGGGCAGTGAGCACCCTCTCATTTGTTTTATGATGGTTCCCTGTGGACACATCTTATCATTTCTTTTCCATTACAAGTAGGCTTAATGTAGTTCTCCTACTCGGAATTTATTTTTTTATTTGTCTTCCAGATTTCAAAGCCATATGGCTAGAGATGAATATAAACCTTGATTTCAAGATGTTGAAATCTGCATTATCTTAAATCTTACTGCTGCACAGACAGGGGTTCTGGTCTTCTGAGCATTTGCTGTCTGAATCTCCAAACATTACAGTCACATGAGAAAGCAAGAGCATGGCATGAAACTATTCACTATGAACTGAGCCCTTATGAAATTATCTCTGCACACCAACCTCTCTGTTACATTGTAGAGGAGGAACTGGCAAACTTTTTCTGCACAGGTCTAGATGGTAAATATTTTCGGCTTTGTGAGCCATATGGTCTCTGTCTCAGCTGCTCAGCCCTGTTGTGGTCATGCGGAAGCAGCTGTAAGACAATGCATAACCAGATGGGCATGGCTTCATTCCAATAAAACTTTATTTATAAAAACAAGCATCTTCTGGATTTGGCCCTCAAGCATGTTCTAGAGTCTCTCCTTCCACAGTAAATGCTGTCTTTGCTGTCGCTTCTTAATTATGGACGTTGACAGAGGAGGTTCTGATATAGTTAGACCAGTAATTGAAGAAAGAAATGAACAAGTTGATAAAATGATAGCCTCTTCCAATGAGAAGGATTTAAATATCAAGGACTAAGATAGTCCTTTGGGAAAACCAATGATGCTCTACACTTCTCTTTTCTAATTTTTAGTTTTAGTTTTTTAGAAGTGGGGTCTTGCCATATTGCCTGGGCTGGTCTCGAACTCCTGGGCTCAAGTGATTTTCCTTCCTTAGCCTTCCTAATAGCTAGGACTACAGGCATGCATCACTGTGCCCGGCTTTTTCGAATATTTTCGAAGAGCCTTCTTTAGGATCTTACTGCAAAAGTCCAACGTGTCCAACGTTGATGTCAGAGCATGTTAGCAACAATTTTGTTGAGAGAATTAGCACAAAACAAATCATTCTGTGATTCATACTGGATTCATTTTTGGAATCAGCTGCATTGTAATTTAAATACTAAAAAATATCTAGCATAAAATAAGTTTATATTCCAAGATAAAGCCTCAATCAAACAAAATATGTTTTCAAGTAATATTCACTATAATTTTTTTCCCCCATTTTAAGTAGGGCCTTTTCCAAGCATGAATTATGCTGAGATAACAGGGACTCTAGTACTTTTTGAGCTGATCGAGGGTGGGAAAGAATTGACTCAGAAGGCTACATTTCAGTTCTCTCTGTGTTTCTGGGTCTTACTACATCTTCAGAGAGGGAGTTTGGGCCCCGGGTCTGCTGAAATCTTCATTTGAAATATCCAGGCCAGGAATGGGTGGAGGGTTGGGTTGGGTGGTACAAAAAGTCCCCAGTGTTTTCAACTGTTTGGTTACTAATTATCAACGTTTGAGGCCTGGGATGTTTTCTGAGCCTGCTCTACTGTTTTTGTCTGCCCTGCTTAGTTTCCTGACTCTATCAGGCCTGATCCCTACACCTCTCGGTCATCTTATTGCCATGACTGAGAACCACCAACCTTCTGAGCATCTGCATTCGCATCAGGTGTCAGAGAGACTCTTGGAAAGCCACCTGGGGCTAGAGGTGACCAAACACCAGACCCAGGAGTGGGACAGAGATGGCAGTTAACAGTGATGAGTACAGGGTTTCCCCAAACTGCTCCCTTGTACTGAGGGCCTTTGTGGGCCCCTGACTTCTGGGTCTTAGCAGGCTGACCTCCTAGATGAAGACTTCCTTGTGTGCCTTCTAGGCTCTGGGAAATACTAGGTCAGTAGGATATAGTATGGGGCTTATGACATCAAACTGGTCTTTTTTTTGTTTTTGAGACGGAGTCTCGCTTTGTCACCCAGGCTGGAATGCAGTGGCTCGATCTTGACTCACTGCAACCTCCGCCTCCTGGGTTCAAGTAATTTCTCCTGGGCCTCAGCCTCCTGAGTAGGCTGGGGACTACAGGTGCATGCCACCACGCCTGGGCTAATTTTTGTATTTGTTAGGTAGGATGGGGTTTCACCATGGTTGGCCAGGCTGGTCTCGAACTCCTGACCTCGTGATCCACCTGCCTGCGTCCTCCAAAAGTGCTGGGATTACAGGTGTGTTGTGCCACTGCACCCGACCTATCCAACTGGTTCTTTATTGGAATCCCAGCTTTACCACTCATTAACCTCAGGTGAGGCCCTAACTCCTGTCTGTTCCCCATTTTCTTGCTTGTACAGTGAGGGTCATGCTTGTTCCTAGCTCAAGAGCTGCTGTGATGGGTTTAATGAGCATGATGAGAGATGGCAGGTGGAGAGCTTAGCACAGGCCTTGGCCACACAGTATGTGCTTCAGTAAATGAAAGCCTGCACTGAGGAAGGTGGGTTGTCTTTGTTGCCATCTTTGCTGTCTTCCCTGTCTTTGGCTGCCAAAATCAAACGCAGGCAAGAGTCCAAAGAACTCCAGGTCTAATCTGTTGATAATCAGTGTGAGGCCGGGTCAAGGCGGGTTCCGCAGGAAGAAGGAAAATGGCCCCTCTGGGATTTGTGGGCCTCGCAGCTCCCTACGTTCCTTCTTGTTGTCGCCAGCAGCCCCAACAAGCGAGGCCCGCCCACGTACAACGAGCACATCACACACGCGTGGCGCTCCAGCCCGGCGCCGCCCGAAGGCCCAGCCACCCCGAGAGCAAGCACACCCCACCGCTACCGCGAGGGGCGGACCGAGCTGCGCAGGGGACAAGTCTCCTGGCGCCCCTGGAGCGGGAGAAGTCCCGGCCGGATGCTCAGCACGCGGAGACGGTCCCCTGGGCTGTTTGAGAGACAGCAGCAGGGGCCGGCTGGCCTGCGGGAGCCGTGGACCCGGCTGTCCCAGGTGAACAAGGTGGAGGACGTCCCGAGGCCTGTGTGTCTGTTGCGGAGGCCAAGAGTGACTTGTGGGAACTGGGACCCCACGGCCCACTGTTTGTTAAAAAGGAACTCCATGACTGTAACTTCGCAGATCTTGTGGTGACCACAGGAGTTTAAAGTTAGAAAAATATGTACTCTAAGAATAGCTTCCTCTCGGCCGGTGAGGTGGCTCTACGCCTGCAATCCCAGCACTTTGGGAGGCTGAGGCGGCGAATCACGAGGTCAGGAGATCCAGGACCATCCTAACATGGTGAAACCCCATCTCTACTAAAAAAAATAGAAAAAATTAGCCAAGCGTGGTGACGGGCGCCTGTAGTCCCAGCTACTCGGGAGGCTGAGGCAGGAGAATGGTGTGAACCCGGGAGGCGGAGCTTGCAGGGAGCCAAGATCGTGCCACTGCACTCCAGCCTGGGCGACAGAGCAAGACTCTGTCTCAAAAAAAAAAAAAAAAGAAAAAAGAAATAGCTTCCTAAGCAAATGGAGTAACCGTGTTGCTGTGATTAAAAAGGAAAATATGTATGTGTATAACTCAAAATATAATAGCTACCAAAAAATCTGTTTTCCTTTCTCCAGAGACAAGTGGTAGCAGTTTCTAGAGATAGTCTGTGCAGACAAGCAAATATGTGTGCTCTCCTTTTTAAAACGCGAATGATAGCATCCTATATGAAATGTTCCATGCTTTACTATACATACAGATTCATACACATACACACATATGCTTTTTTTTTTTGAGAGAGTGTCTTGCTCTGTTACCCAGGCTGGAGTGCAGTGGCGTGATTATAGCTCACGGCAGCCTCGAACTCCTGGGCTCAAGCGATCCTCTCACTTCAGCCTCCTGAGTAGTTGGGAATATGGGCTGTAGCTACCATGTCTGGCTTTTTCCCCCACTTTTTGTTTGTTTTTGTTTTTGGTTGTTTTAGAGACACGGTCTTACTGTGTTGCCCAGGCTGGAGTGCAGTGGTGTGATCATAGCTCACCACAGCGTTGAACTCCTGGGCTCAAGTGATCCTCCAGCCTCAGCCTCCTGAATAGCTGGGACTACAGGCTTAAGCCACCATCTGTCTAATTCCCACCCCCACCCCCCTTTTTATTTTTTTTAGAGACAGAATGTCGCTATGTGCCCAGGCTGGTCTTGAACTCCTAAGCTCAAGCAGTCCTCGCACCTTGGCCTCCCAAAATGCTGGGATTACAGGCATGAGTCACCACGCTCGGCCCACTCATGTGTATATATAAATTGTTTTTCTGGAAGGCTACACAGAAAAGTGTTCACAGTGGTTGCCTTCCAGAAGAACTTTGAACTTTTATAAATGTTTAAATCATGGGCATGAATGATCTGTGTAATTTTTAGGTTCGCGATCGAGGAGAGGGATAGGTGTTGAAGACCAGGGGCTCCCCCAGGCAGGGGATGGCTCAAGTGCTTGGTGCCTCCTCAGCAGGCTAAGCAGGCCAAGGAGCCACCTTTCTGCCATTTGGGGCTGATTTTCTGGGTGGCATTCTCCTTCTGATGCCACGTGCAGTTCACCTGCTGGTAAAGAAAGAAGGAAACACCATCCATGTGGCTTCTTATCCCTCCCAATTGACCGATGAAACTGTGTATGTGCGTGTGTGTGCGTTAACATGCTTACAGCAACACAGGTACACACACGGCTTTCGGATTTTCCAGTGAGTTTCACTCCCTGGCTTTCCCAGGCTCTGGAGCGGGTGCTGCCCTGCTGAGTACTCACTGCTAACTGCTGAAGGGGATAGCCCAGGGGCTGCAGATTCCCATTTGCATTGTGCAAGGTGAGCACAGCAACTTCTGGCCTCGGATGGCTAACACTCCTCCTCCTTATTTCACTCCTAGGTCTGGGACCAGTCTTCAGTATAAATCTCAGCCAGAAAAGCCAACTCCTCATCTCGATCTGCAGGAAACACCAAACACACCATGGAACTCTGCTGATGGGGACCCAAGCGCCCACGTTCTCAGCCACCCTCTGGCTCAGTGGGGCCCAGACCCACCTCAGCACGGACACCCCTGTCTCCAGGAGGGGCAGGTGGCTGAGGCTCTTCGGAGCTGTCAGGCCCGGTGCCTGCCCTGGGCACCTCCCTGCAGCCATCTCTTTGCACTTTGTTACTCTTTCAAAGCATTCACAAACTTTTGTACCTAGCTCTAGCCTGTACCAGTTAGTTCATCAAAGGAAACCAACCGGGATGCTGACTACGACGTGGTTAGAATCCTAATTAGCTACTTTAATATCCTAGGATTGGTTGGTTTTTTTTTTTTCCTTTGTTTCTTTCTTTTTTTTTTTTTTTTAAGACAACAGAATTCTTAATAGATTTGAATAGCAACGTATTTCCTGTTGTAGTCATTTTTAGCTAGATCACATCATCAGGTCTTTGCTACCGAGGCGTAGTATAGAAGAGTCCCGGTCAGTTGGCCAACCTCCTGCAGCCACGTAGGTTCATCCTTGTTCCTGTTCATTCTCATAGATGGCCCTGCTTTCCCCAGGGTGACATCATAGCCAAATGTTTACTGTTTTCATTGCCTTTTATGGCCTTGACGACTTCCCCTCCCACCAGCTGAGAATGTACGGAGGTCATCGGGCCTCAGCTCGGAGGCAGTGACTTGAGGTCATTGGGCCTCAGCTCGGAGGCAGTGACTTGGGGCCAAGGGACCTCGAGACGCTTTCCTTCCCCGCCCCCCAGCGTCATCTCCCCAGCCTGCTGTTCCCGCTTGCCATATAGCTTTGGCCAGGAAAGCATGCAATAGACTTGCTCGGAGCCCAGCACTCCTGGGTCTCGGGGTCAGGGAGGGGACGGGGGCACCCACCTCCTGTCTGACGGTGTGTTGTTCCCCACTACTGTGGGATGGGGAAGAGGCCCGTCGGGAGTTCTGCATGGCGGTTTACTGCATGTGCTGCCCCCTTGGGTTGCTCTGCCAATGTATTAACACCATCCCATAGCTCCTGCCGAATCGAGACCCTCTGACGACTTGCCAACTAACTGGCCACCACAAGCTGCAGTCTGTAGCACTGAACAAACAAAAAAAAACCAAAACGCTCAAGCCTTACGACCAGAGAAGGATTTCAGCAAACCACCACCTCCCACTCAGTGTCCCCTCCGAGCTTCACACTTCCCTGCCTGCCGAGGATGACTCTGTTCACACCCAATCCAGCGCGGTTCTACCCCACGAAACTGTGACTTCCCAAATGAGCCTTTCCCTAGGGCTGGGGGACCTGAGACCAGGAAGTGTGAGAAAGCAGCCGCAGCTCAACTCTTCCAGCTCCGCCCGGGTTGGGAAGTCCTTAGGTGCAGTGCGGCTCCCACTGGGTCTCCGGACCCTCCTATTTGAGTATGAAATTCCTGGCAACTGATAGAGAACCAACCTAGAGGCTTTGCAGTTGGCAAGCTAACTCGCGGCCTTATTTCTGCCTTTAATCTCCCACAAGGCATCTGTTGCTTTGGGTCCTCCACGACTCTTAGGCCCGCCTCAACAACCCAGGCACCTCCTAGGTAGGCTCAAAGGTAGACCCGTTTCCACCGCAGCAGGTGAACACGACCGTGTTTTCAACCATGTGTCCACAGTTCAGATCCCTTTCCAGATCGCAACCTGGCCTGCATCCCAGCTCCTTCCTGCTCGTGTCTTAACCTAAGTGCTTTCTTGTTTGAAATGCCTACAAACCTCCATGTGGTAGCTCCTTTGGCAAATGTCCTGCTGTCGCGTTTCATGTGTTGCTTGGAGTCTGTGGGGTCGTACTCCCTCCCCTCCCGTCCCCAGGGCAGATTTGATTGAATGTTTGCTGAAGTTTTTGTCTCTTGGTCCACAGTATTTGGAAAGGTCACTGAAAATTGGTCTTTCAGTCTTGGCATTTCATTTAGGATCTCCATGAGAAACGGGCTTCCTGAGCCCTGAAAATGTATATTGTGTGTCTCATCTGTGAACTGCTTCCTGCTATATAGAACTAGCTCAAAAGACTGTACATATTTACAAGAAACTTTATATTCGTAAAAAAAAAAAAAAAAGAGGAAATTGAATTGGTTTCTACTTTTTTATTGTAAAAGGTGCATTTTTCAACACTTCCTTTTGGTTTCAGTGGTGGTAGTTGTGGACAGCCATCTTCACTGGAGGGTGGAGAGCCCCGTGAGACCACCAAGATGCCAGCAGGAAATATCGTAACACGAAATTGCTGTCAAAAGCTTATTAGCATCAATCAAGATTCTAGGTCTCCAAAAGTACAGGCTTTTTCTTCATTACCTTTTTTATTCAGAACGAGGAAGAGAACACAAGGAATGATTCAAGATCCACCTTGAGAGGAATGAACTTTGTTGTTGAACAATTAGTGAAATAAAGCAATGATCTAAAAATGTGTGCTTTAGTGCAATGACCTCTTCTTTTTTTGAGACTATGAAAGAAAAACTATCACCAGCGTGTCAGTGTAGGTGTATTGTCATGGATGGGACCTTCTTTACGTTGTGGGGAGGGTTTTCCTCAGGAGTGGCATAGAGGAAGCCACGTGGTGGTTAGGGCACACTGCTATCCTGGAGTTAAGCAATTGGCGGCATTCTCTACCAAGAGTGTGACATTGTGGAAATTCGGTCAGTACTTCCAGTGAACCATGAATTGGCTATTAAGGTCATATTACAGGACTGCAGAGCTGGAAAGCTCTTTAAGCTGTCACAAAGGCCATTTGGAAAGGATGACTCAAGAACGGATTACCCACTTCCATAATCAGCTAACCAGGAACAGGTCAGCTCAAGATTTCTTTCATCTATTATGATAAGGCCAACTACAATTTAATAATGTAGATTTCTTTGTAGGGAAGAATTCAAATCAAAGGTAATTCAAAATGAAAATACTCCCATTTTTAACTAGATGAACTTTTACAGTCTGCAAGATAAATTTTTTCTCATTCTTTAGTTTGTTAGTATAAACTTGCTCCATCCAGACAAACAAGGGTTTTGGCAAATGGTGATGTTTTTGTTTTCATGGCTCCTGTGGGTTGTAGTCTTTGAATTTTTATTTTCTAATGAAGTCGTCTGACCATGGTCAAAATTGGGCTCACAGAGTCGTATCTGTCATTCGTTGCTTGTGATGGGACCCACAGACGCAGTTCTGTTCTTTTTGGTGTTACTGTTGGGCATGAAAATCCACCACAAGGTCATAATTATAAGAATGAAAATAATTCAGAAGCTGAAGCAGTGAAATGTGGAACTTTCTTTCCTTGTAGCATTAGGAAAATGTCTGTTAAATATCAACCAACTATTTCAGCGATTGTCCTGAGAATTGTGGGAGGCCACAGAAAACTTCCAAAGCTAAGTCAACATAGTTTGATTTCAAAAGGAAGTGCCAAGGAAAAGTGTTTGAACCCGAAAGAATAGCCTGAAAGAAACAACCAATTCCACAGCCACACCGCAAAATGAGGCCTAACCCTTCGTGCTGGCCACTCCTGTTTCATAAGCACAAAATTAGGTGTCATGTTTTCTGCACTTACAACTTAATTGTCACCAGATGAAAGAGGTTGATTGCATAGCAAATTCCATAACCATGTAACTTTAGGATTTGGAGGGTTAGACCAAAAGAGAGAATTTTGCTTAACAGGACTGTCTTCAGAATTGGACCTCTTGAATGTGATTTGCCGTAGAAAACATTCGTGGGGGCCAGCTCAGCTTCCATTCTCAGAATACAATGGTTTCACTGGCTTGTTCCACTGGTTCTAAGCCATGGGGAGATTTTGCTTCCCTCCTCCCAGAGGACATTTGACAATGCCTGGAGACATTTTTGGTTGTCACAACTGGGAGGTACTACTGGTATCCAATGGGTGGAGGTCAGAGATGCTGCTCAACATCCTACAATACAAAGGACAGCCCCCCACTGTAAAGCAGGCCCAAAGCCTCAGTAGTGCCAAGGTTGAGAAACCTTGGTCTGTTCTAGTTTTAGTCCCGTGTCTTCCTTGGCAATTTAAATACTGCTAATGATGTCTAAAGCATGTAGACCGTGGCTCTAGGCCTACAGTGTTATATGAGAAGAATAGTTTCTCATTTGCCCACTCAAATGCTGAAGCTGTTTCCTGAAGCTGGGAAGGGTGGGGGTAGTGGAAATAGAGTCCAGTGTTGATCACTTTGTTTTCCCTTGAGTCTATTAATGATGAACGGAACTCTATTTACCCTAGAGGGATTGTTAGAGGTAGACGAAAAAACCTTGAAAATGACTTTATTACTCTGCATAACTCAGGCTGTGTTTCAGAGAGCCACAAAAAAGGAAACATAAAGTCGACCAAGGGTATACACATCTTGGCCTGTTCTCACTGGCCAGTGAGTATTTCAGATGGCCTGGGCGAATTCACTCTAGGGGGAGGTAGCAGTTAAGAGCTGGCATCCTCATCTGGGGAAAGGCCCTTTAGTTGTATGAAAGACAAGACAATGTAGTTGTGGGAGCCAACCCTGAGGGCAGAGCCCAGTGGCTCATCCTAGAGCCAGCGGCTGGGGTCCCAGAGACAGGGCTCCGGCTGCTGCTCCAGCTTTCGGGATCTTCTCCAAATGTCTGGCTCACTACAGTGACGATGACTCTTAGGAGGACCCTGTGGATGTTTTTACAATTCTAATAGGGATGACTGGGGTTTTAGAAGAAATGTGTATGTATCTACAACTTCCGTGTTTTCTCCTGAAGACAATTATAGCTGGCATACCAGGGCAGAAGGCTCTAGTTTGTTTCTCCACTAATTTGCTGGTCAAGAGAAGTGCTGAAGCTTTATTCCTCAGAAACATTATGATTTGATGAGTGGTCCATGTCTTGGGTCTTCATCAATTCATTCAAACCATTTGTAAACACTGGTGGATGTCTTAGCCCATTCAGTGCTGCTTTAACAAAATACCTGACAGTGGGTAATTTATAAAGAACAAAAATTCATTTGCTCAGAGTTCTGGAGGCTGGGAAGTCCAAGATTAAGGCATGGGCAGGTTTGCTTGTCTAGTGAGGGCTACTCTCTGCTTCCAAGATGGCGCCTTGTGCTTGGGTGCTCTGGAAGGGAGAAAAGCTGCGTGTCCTCATGTGGCAGAAGGTGCCAGGGCACATGAGCTGAATGCTGCCTGGAGCCTCTTTGATAAGAACCTTAATTTCATTCATGAGAAGAGGGGCTCTCATGACCTAATCTCTTCTTAAAGGCCCTACCTCTTAGTACTATCGCACTGGGGACATTTGAATTTTGAAGGTGACATAATAGCAGGGGAGGATCAGATATGGGAAGTAAATGCTTGAAAGTGAAATTGTGCTCATACAGAAGGAACTGAATTAAAATGAAATTTTGTTCTTTCCTAGAATGGCTCGTTCAGTCTCTGACCTCAGCCATAGATCGTATCATGATGTTCCAGGTTTTTCCTCTCAGCCTTAGGAGCCTTGGAGATTTCCTAATTGAGCTAGTTGAGGTGCAGGCGCAATTTTCTTGTCTGGCTTTTTGACTTCCTGTTGTGGCCCTGGCCCTGCAATACTGATTTACATTTTAGTAATTTTTAGGCTTTAATTTGGCTCTATAAATTCACCTGTCAGTTTCTAGAGGGAAAAATAGATCTTCATTGAAAAGCAATTTGAGTTAAGCTTTAACTAACTGTAAGTCCTCACCCATAAAGGAAATGCTAATGGAGAAAGGATTACTTGGTCATAGGACACAATTTGACATGGTTTTGCCCCTGCGATTTGGGCAAAACAAGGTCTCCTTTTCCACCTTTGTAAAATCACTGTTAACCTTTAGCTTCTTGGGTATGCAGGCTTTCACTTGGTGGGCAGGCTTTCCGACTATAATGTGCTTTTTAAAGAAAATGAAATCCTTTGAATGTGCACACATGTGTTGTCTCTGACCACGTCCTCTTGTTTTGCGTCTCCTCCATCTCAGCAGTGACCTCACCTGGAAGTTCCCAGTGGCCCCAGGGCTTGGCGAACTCACGGGGTGACCGGCTCCAGTACACTAGTCTTATTTTACATAGCATTTTCAGCTTGGATTTTCTGCACCAGTGGGTAGAGCTCATTAGCATGCTTTCCTGCTAAATTTAAAATGTTCCCCGATAACCTGAGAAGGCTTAAAGGGACACCCATAACCTTCCACCTTTTTGGAGGAAGGACATAGCCTTTTTTAGTGGATGAAAATAGCTCTGACTCCACAAATGTCCTGGTATCTCACACACCAGGGTCACAATCCCAGGCTGTCCCGTAGGGCTTGTTTAGGAGCAAAAGGAAACAAACCGTCTAGCCTGGGGACACCACCAACTTGCCGAAGCCAGGGGCCTCTGCTGTTACCCTCCTTCAGCTTTCCCTTGTGACTCGAGCTGTTCAGAGGGGCTCAGTTATAGGGGTCCCTTAACAGGCTTCCAAACTGTGTGAATGGGTGAGTCACAGGAATGGTTCTCAGGCCTGGGCAGCTGGAGTAGCCCTGTCCGCTCAGAGCCACAAGAATGGTACTGAAACGCAACTCTGGAAGAGTCGTCTCTTCTCCAAGGGACTGAGTAAAATCAGAGCTCCTCCAGGCACATGTCCAATTATTTTTACAAAGTTTTATTGAAACTTGTACATCAAGGTGACAGTAATTCACTGTTTTGAAAACAGTAACAAAAAAGGGTACCCCCAAACTCAGGTATACCAAGTAAATACTGGAACCCAGGGAGCTCACTCCTCCCTCTCCCACCAGAAGCAAAGGGTGTAACAGGAGCTTCCGCTGACTCACAGGAACCTAGGATAGTGGGCACATCTGTGGCGACTGCTGGGAAACAGCTGCGTGTAAAGGAGTCTGCTTTGGTCCAAAGGACATCTTCCTGACCCAAACTCAGAAGGCTGCTGTCAAGTTCTACATTCCTTTCAGAATCAGCAGCAGCAACTGCTGCTGTCTTGCTTGCTAACTAGGGGCAGAGGTCCTGAGCAAGGTGCCACGGGACCTTGTAAAATCACACTGTGTTGATTTTACAGGGAGGAGGGTAGAGTGCCTCTCAAGTTTTCACGGTTAACACCGTCATCTATTATGACTGAAATAAAAAGCTGGACGACCTGCCAGCTAACTGGTCGGTCCTCAGGATCATCCAGCTGAATGGAGAAATCTGGCAGTGGGTTGAGAGGTCTGTTCTGAGAACAGATTATTGCTGAGCAGAGTTCATATGACTTCCAGTCGTGGCGACTTAAAAAATTGCCTTAAGGCTGCACAGCCAGTCACCTCTGCTTACAGAGTACTTAGTGCACGCGACTGTAAGAAACAATTGTAAAACTTCATCTAGAAATCAGACGGCTTCTAAGTTCTATAGAAATGGCACCTCCCTGGAGCCGAGAGACAATCTATTGCTGATTTGGAAGGAGAGGCAAGACCAACACCGTACTTAGTTCCACAG